ACCTAAACCACACAATGACCCAACAAAAAAAGAGAACTTCAGACCTATCTCTCTTATGAACATTGATGCAAAAATACTCAATAAAATACTTGCAAACAGAATCCAAGAACACATCAAAGATATCATCCACCACGACCAAGTAGGCTTCATCCGAGGCATGCAAGTGTGGTTCAACATACGGAAATCCATCAATGTAATCCACCACATAAACAAACTGAAGGAGAAAAACCACATGATCATCTCCTTAGATGCTGAAAAAGCATTTGACAAAGTCCAACACCCATTCATGTTTAATTTTGGGTTGTAAATTAATGCTGAGAGTTAAAATTAAGATAGATGATATAAAGGTTAATTTATTCAAATTTAGTAATTCATTATTTCACAAAATACCACATAAAATAGTCAAGAATTGTTTGAAGAAAGGAAATCAGAATATCAAAATATCAACACTTGTATACCCAGATTCTTTCTTAGCATTTTCTTTTCCTGATCACAAATACATTACATTTTATTGAGATCCACATTTAATACCTGGCTGCAGATTAAGTGCTAATTCTAAAAGAATAGCAAATATCAACAGAATAAAGGATGTTGACTTTTATTAATTTCAACAAAATGTTCAACAGGAACAAATAGTTTGTGATGCTCAAATAGAAGTCTACACTGTTAACTCTGGTGATACTTCCACCTGCTGTGTAGAAGCCTTTGAAATTCACACAACACCATTAATCAATATTCTGTGCAATTAAGGCACTATTCAGAAATAGTTCTTGACAATACCTACATTTTCTCCAACATTTTCAGAATTTCAGGCTTCAAATTGATGTGGTTCATCTGTGTAAACTTATGTTTTTTATAAAAGGCAAGAGATAAAGGACTAATTTCATTCTTTTGAAATTAAATATCTAATCGTGTTAACAACATTTATTGATGAATCTGATTTTTCTTCTCAAATGCCTGAACACAAATCACAAATAAGCACATTTTAAAATTTTTGATCTCTTCAGCTATCAGGTAAATGTGATTTAATACTCTTTTTGACAGTCTGTCTGGGACAAGTCAGAATTCAGTGTGACTATGTAACGAAGAAGACAAATATCCAGAAATACTGTCAAAAATGGGGGAGAAGAGGAAACATTTGTTGTTGGTGAATTGACACAGCCACTACAAAATCAGTGTGGCAGCTTCTAAAAATTAAATATACCAGTGTGAGAGGACTGAGCTGTAGAACTCTTGGGTGGCAAAGGATACACAGCCTGCTGTAGTGCTATCTCCACATTCATTTCAGCTTCCGCAGCTTTTACACTATCCAAGAAGGTGAAACACCTGGGATGTCTGCCACATGACGAGCAGATAATGAAAATGTGTTTTATACATGAAGGATAATTTCACTGCGATGTAAAGAAAAATAAAATTGTGATATTTAAAGAAAAATAGAGATAGTTGAAAATCATTATATTAATTACGACAACCCAGGGTCAGAGAGAAATATATTCTGTTCTCTTTCATCTGTGAGTTTAACTTCTCCTTTTTATATATGTATTTTTATGTGGGAATAAGTGTGGCCACTACCCAGGGAGCTAGGACGGAGACCATGAAAGGAAGAAAGGTGTGTGAAGGGAGGCCAGGATGGGTTCACAGAGCAAGTCTGAGATCAAAGTGGAAAGGGAGTCAGGAGTCCAGTGGGGTCAGAGCAAAGGGGAGGAGAGTGAAGAAGAGGAAAGGGGTAGGTGAGAGAAAAACCAAAACAACGTCCTGAAAAATGCTGTTCAGGCTTTGTTTATATGACAGTGACACATGAGTGAACGAGAAGACACCTCCCTCTCTCCTTTTTTTTCTTTTTTAAAGAGAAAGATGTCTGTATTGAAGTGACAATGCCAGAGAAAACTCACTAGGAGAAACGTAGCTTCTGCTTCCCCACACATTATTTTTTTCATATAATCCCTCTGAAATTAAGCCAAATAAATCAAATATTTTTTACAAATAATAATATAATTATATGGGTCAGTAAGATGTGATCTTTGAAGGAGAGCATGGATTTGGTCAAAATAATTTTAACAAAATATTATTGTCATTTAAAATATCACAACATACTTTTATAAGGATATTTTTCTACATATAAACAATACTGCCAATGACAGATTAGTATTATTTATGTCAACATTAATTATAATTCATATCAATATTAGTATTTTAATACAAATCTTTGTACTGCCTGCTTTTATTTTTATTGAGGAGATTTCTCCAGAAAGCAGACACTTAGTATGACTCACATTAGTGTCTCATCATGTCCATTTGCCCTGAGAGGGCCTGTGTACCAGGATGCCTGGAGACCCAGCTGGACACAATACGGACACTGAACAGCCCTGAGAATATCCTTCTTTACTTGAAAGTTTCTTCTCCATGTCAACATCTGTGGAGTTCTCTCAAACTTATGATACTGTCGCTGAGCTGTGTCATTTCTGGTATCTACTCTTTTGTAGAAATAGAATATATTCCTAAGCACAACCTACTATGACAAATTGTGATTCAAGGTGAGGCAAACAAGGTACTAGGGACGCACAAATTACTGAAAGCCAAAACTAAAACTATAGAAAACTGATATATAGTTTTCCTTGCTACTTGGCACTAGCTTAATATCTTCAAGTGCAGTGATTGCATTCTGAATGCTTGTAAGCTCAGAAAGGTAATGCACAGATTAAAAAGTCAAGCCACAGGAAGAAAATCCGAAAAAATAAAGAAATAAAGGAAAAAGAATAGAGAAAAATCTGATATAATCAAGAATATTTACATAAAAGACTCAATTGTACTTCCCTTTGAGTGACACTCATTGTAGCTCAAGGATATTTTCTGAGTTTTGTGTTTATGTCCATATTTCAGTTTCTGAAGCATAAGCAAAAAAAAAAAAAAAGTCTATCATTCTGACAGACAGGTCTTCACAATTCCCTGGCATCACTTCTTAAAATGAATTACTCCTAACTTCGTATTGAAGTTTATGATTGTTAAAAGAGGGGGAAGATGAAGCCCAAACAACTTCTATTTAATAGTCAGAATAATTGCGTCTACTGAGCAGACACAGTGTGATGGGGGTTATAGTTCTGTAATTTTGCTGAAATGAAAATGCATTCCCTTTCTTGGTTTAAAGGTTGTTCTTTTTGTTTGCAAGCAAGAAACAATATCTGATGAACACGAAAAGTTCCTTGGCCTCATTATATGGATGACAAACGAGACCTTATAGTTTCACATCAAATCAGTGGAAAAACAATTTTCTGGGAGGGAAAAAAAAGGATATGCAAACATTTTCCTACAAAGTTAAAGATTCAAGGCAGTGAGTCTGGAATGTGTTTCTCCCGTTAGGCAGCCCCTCCATTCCATGAAACATCTGTCTCAATTTCCTTTCTTCCTGGAGCCTGCTTTTAGCTTTGCAAAGCCATTCTTCTGAAGCTGCCTCACTATGACCACACTGATGGAAACCTTGTGTCATTCTGTAGATGCACCCCAGCTTCTCAGCTGGAGATTTCTGGCCAGGCTTTACTGCATCTTTCCAGATGCTTCCTACACTGTCAAACAATTTGCTTTTTGTTAGATTCATGCTTGAAAGTAGACATCCACACACGGACTGAGTCTTTGCAGAAGATTCTTAGGGTTCTATGAAGATATGAATTAAAAGCATCTTGGAAGAGAATTTTTAAAGAATATGCTCCATAAGCTTACCGTGCAACAGCCTACAAGTACAAAGATAGAAGCATAACAAAGTGTTTACTGTGTAATTGGCCTGGGCATGAAATTAATCCATGGACAGCTATATAGGATATCTGTAAGGGGTTACAGTAGAGAACCTAGGAAAGTATTTCTTAAAATAATATTATTTTTATTAGTAGTGAAATGTATTCAAGTCTCTAAAAAGTGGTATTAAAATATGTGTACCTTTAAAAAAAATCACATGATTATATAAGACAAGCAGGAAATAACTAGTCTAACCTGTATTCTGTTTAAAAAGTGACAGTGTAGTCTTAGCCGTCGGCTGCTTTTGCTTATTTAATGAGTGCAAATAAATACAGATGGCTGCACGCTGATGTAATCAATCAAGAATGTGAGATTTCTTTTGATATGATGGGAACAACAGAGACTCAGGGTGGGGCCAGAATGTTGTTGCTCCAGACGTGTTAAGCAAATTCCCTTCCAAAGAGTACAAAGTCATAGAGAAGAATATACTGACCAAGAAACATGAATAAATACTACCATAAAGGAAAGGAACTGAAAATGAGGGTGTCACTAAATAATTTATAAGCAATAACTTGTAACAGAAAGGAAGTAAGGTGAAAATAAAGAGAAAATTGAAAGTGTGTCCTGAAAAATATGACCTTTTCCCCCATTTTTAAGTCCCACTTATTGCCAAAGCTCTCAAAACTTGCCAATTTTAACATAATCAAATGCTGTTGAAGTATGTAGTAGCCATGTGGATATATATATATATATATATATATATATATATATATATATATATATATATCAAACGACATTCATATTCAAATTATATAGTTTCACTGTCACTAAAGATTTTTAAAACCTAAAGGAAGAAAATGCTAGTCAGTATCTCAAGAGTTGCCTTTGAGGAAAAAGATGAACTTGGTTTAAGAATGAAGGGAAACTTGAATGGTGTTTTGCACACTTTGCAGTGAATATAACTGTAATATGTTCTTACAAAGCTGTGTATTAACAAGCAGTAAGATATGTTTAAAACTATCAAGTGAAGAAATGTATGAAGCTGAAAGAAAATGTCAACTTTGCTTTCAATGGGCCATTGAAAACAGTTCCTAAGATTTGAGAAACAAACAGTTGAAAATAATAATCTATCTAAGAAGGCCTCGTGGGTGTGGCACACTGTGATGAATGTAAGAACAGGAGTGACATCTTGTGGCACAGATGGACACATTTTACACTTGTACCATAATCATAGAGGGTGATTGAAGTTGCTGTGAAACTCTGCTTGTTTTCAGACTGAAAAAGTGACAGAGAGGCTTTCTGGGAACAGAGAGCTCCTCACCCCAGGTCCACAGCTAGAGGACACCCAGGATGAGGACAAGGATGAAGAATCCACCCCCAGGCTGATCGATGGCTCTTCCCCACAGGAACCAGAATTCCCAGGGCTTCTGGGTCCACACACCAACGAAGGTCAGATAAAGTAATACTGAATTGTAACTGAATACACTGTCATCACTCAGAAAACACCAAGTTTTAACTCATTCCGTGAAGAAAGCACGTTGCCTCTGGATAAAGAAGTCCTGGGCCCTAGGGCTTACTGATGTATTGCTAAGTAGTCCCGTTATCCATCAGCCTTCTAAGTACTTGTGCTCATACCCATAGGTTGTTGCTCTTCCCAACATCAGTCAGAGAAGCTTCCTCAACACAGAATCCTAGTTGTGCAAAGTGCTGAGCATATACATCTGTGTGTGCTCAGCCACAGCTGCGACATCTACTCTAATGTCCACCACAAACAGGGGCTCAGAGAACATCTTGGAATAAGGGACTTAAAAATGTATGTGGGTCTCTGCCTTCCCGGGGGGCTATTTTTCACCAGATCACTATGGCAGGAGGGGCAGAAGATGAGGCACAGAGCTTGTAAGGCTGTGAGCACGGAGGAGATCAGATGCTCTGGGAACCACCTCAGTGAGCGAGTTAAACTGTAATTCCAGAGAACAAAGGCTGTATGCCCCTTGGGGAATGAGGGGGAACTCCTAGTATAGATGTACATAACTGGTTAAAACTAGGCATTTCAAGGATGTTTGATCTGCATTAAACAGTGCCCTCCTATCATATGTATGGGAACACAGCACCTAATTACCCTATAGGCGCAGGGAGGGAAGAGCTAGCAGGAAGCTGTGTCAAAGGTTATATATCAAACGTGGTTAGGGTCATCTTTGTCTAAAGACACTCTCCAGATGAAGTCAGGCAGAGAGCTGGACGCCCTGATGGGGAGAAGGAGTCCTGCACCTTAATGCAGAGCTCAAAATGGCTATCCAGACTGGGAGGACTGCAGCCTCGAACAGCAGGGTCCTCCCAACAACTTAGGCTCCTGGGGATGGGGAGGCTCGCAATGAAATATCCTCTGGATCTGACATAGCTGTTTCGCACGTAAACATACAGACTTTTCAGTTACCTACACAAGATCAAGACAGTTAGAGCATCCAGCATGGATGAGACAAGTGTTTCAAAGAACTGATCTCTGCTAGCTAGGGTACAATTAGCGTCCCTGTGCCTTAATGGATAAATTCACAACCGTTTGTTCTTGGGCTGCACTAACTACACTCAATGGGTCAATAGTAATACTGATGATGATAACAGGCCAAATAAATAAGAGGATAATAAGTCAGAAGGGAGATTAGATGGAAGATACTGAGGTAAGAGAGCATGGAGAGCACACATGTACATGATGAAGATCCGTGGTATAAAAACACGAAACCTTCAAAGAAAACAAAATTAAAATGAAAAGAACTTGCTAACTTTTTTTGCTTGTTTTTCAAGACAGAGTTTCTCTGTGTAATGGTACCCTATGTGTTTAGGACTCACTTTGTAAACCAGGCTGGCCTTGATCTCACAGGGATCTGCCTCTCTCTGCCTCCCAAGTGCTGGGATTAAAGGAATGTGCGACCTCACCTGGCTGAACTAGCCAATTTCAACTCCCACCCCAGAAGAAAAGTGAATAATGCAAAGATTAAAAAAAAAATCTAGAATGCTGAAATATACTTTGAAGCAGAGAGTTATACATGTATTTTTATAGTCAGATGTAAAATAGCTTGTATGGCATCATTTTTGTCCTTTTGGAACTAATCAAAGAGCCAAGGGCTCATGGTAGAAATACTTGCCTGGCAACATTTCTTAAAATCCTTCTGAGCGTGTATTCCAGAGCACAGGACTGGATGAACTGAGGAAAACCCTTCCTCTGAGATCAAGCCAGCACAGCTCAAAGTCATAAGATGTGGATTAGAATAAGGATAGCCTGTTGTGGTGATTAAGTGTGCTATCTGTGGGCCGTAGTGACAGAGTGCCGAGTCCTTCCTTTACCCTTTACCATATTGCTAGAGTGTTGATAGTTGTTTTTCTTGCCACTACGTCTTAATTTAGAAAGGATAGTGATTTGGGGTTGTATGCCAACTTGTTAGGATTCTAGACTGTATTTTTAGGAATGTGTTCGTTCTCTGCCCTCTCAGACCTAGAAAATGGACCCCGAGTACTTACTTATCTCACATAACCACTGCTTTCTGTGTGAGTTTCTCTTCTACATTCCCCTGCACCCTAGCAAGCAATACCCTCTCCCTCTCTAAATGTTCACATATTACAAGTGAGTTGTCATCTTGCACACTTGCTAGCCAGTCACTTATATTGATGTATGCCAACTCTGCCAAATCACAAATCCATGGAGTAGGAACTGTCACCTCCTCTATAAACAAGAAAAACAAAATGCCAGCAGACTATAAACCTGTGCAAAATCATCAAAACGAACTAGTGGTCATGGAATGCAGACATATACAAAATGTCAAATCAGTTTCTTTACGGAATATAGCACATCCCTTCTACATAGGTAAATTTTTATGTATTTGAATGACACAAACAGAGCCAAAGAGACACACAAACAAGTAAAAAGTGTAAATTCCTCAAAGAAAGTGCCCACATAGGAAAACTAAAGGTAGCTAGTGCAATGAGAGCAGTTTAGAAAATTCAATCTTTCAAAAAGCTGTCCTAATTCTCCCAAGGCTAGCCCTGTTTGAATAGCTTGAGCACATTTTTCTTTTTAAATATGTAATCAAGTTTTGTTTCAATAATTTTTGTAAGAATATCAACAAAGTGATATTTTTTCTTTTTTAAAATTTATTCTTGTATTACAATTTTATACTCCAGCTGTAGCTCTGTCCCTCATCTCCTCCCAGTCCCACCTTCCCTTCTTCCTTTCCCCCCTATGCTCCTCCCATAGTCCACTCATAGGAGAGATCCTCTTAGAATTTTTGGCTTTGTTGATCTCCTTGTGAAGCTCCTGTTCCCTACAGGTCTTTCTATCTCCCCTTTCATTGATAAGATTCCTTGCACTATCCCCAGAGTTTGTCTATGAGTCCCAGCATCTGGTTCGATACCCTGAACAGGAGAGTCTTTCAGAGGCTGTCTGTGGTAGATTTCTATCCTGTTTCCGGTTTTCTTTCTCTTCTGATATCCATCCTGTTTACCTTCCTGAATGAGGACTGCACATCTTGCATAGGATCCTCCTTCTTGTTTAGCTTCTTTAGGATTATAGATGTTATATGTTTATCCTCTATTATATGTCTAATATCCACTTATAAGTGAGTATAAACCATGCGTATCTTTCTGCTTCTGGGCTACCCCACTCAGGATGATCTTTTCTAATTCCCACCATTTGCCTGCAAATTTAGTGATTTCCTTGTTGTTAATTTCTGAGGAGTATTCCATTGTGTAAATGTACCACAACTTCTGTATCCATTCCTCAGTAGAGGGACATCTGGATTGTTTCCAGATTCTGGCTATTGTGAATAAAGCTGCTACAAACACGGAGAAGTTAAACACCAACAAACCAAGTAACACAATTTAAAAATGGGATACAGAACTAAACAGAGAATTCTCAATAAAAGAATATCAAAGGGCAGAGAAACACTCAAAGAAATGCTCAACGTCTTTAGACATCAAGGAAATGCAAATCAAAATGACACTGAGATTTCATCTTACACCCATCAGAATGGCCAAGATCAAAAATTCAAGTGACAGCACATGCTGGTGAGGATGTGGAAAAAGGGGAACCCTCCTCTATTGCTGGTTGAAATGTAAACTTGTACAACCACTTTGGAGATCAATCTGGTGCTTTCTTAGACAATTAGGAATAGTGCTACCTCAAGATCCAGCTATACCACTCCTAGACATATATCTGAAATATGCTCAACTATACGACAAGGACATTTGTTCAACCATGTTCGTAGCAGCTTTATTTTTTCTTATTTTTAAAACTAAGAGTAAACCGAGGATATATAATGAAGTTAAAACTTAAATTACATTTTACTTTCCAGAAAAGAAGCATACATTCATGAATGTTAACAACTTGGAAACTTTCATATTTATTAAAATTCAAATTTTAAATTTTTGTTTAGTAAAACTAAAATAAATCAAAATTCTTGTAAATATGTATAAATTATTCTGTGCAATTAATGTTTTCATACAAGACCAACATTGTACAAAATCAAATACCCTCATTTAAAATGTATTAGTGGAAATAATGAAATCATAATGACTAGAAAACATATCAAAGATTAAATACTTTGCAGATTCCTTTTAACAAACTTTCTTTACGTTTCTTGTTTAAATGTTTTTTTTTATTTTGGAGTAGTTACTGTGTTTAATATACTAATATCTCTTTCTTCCTTCCTTTCTTTCTCTTTTTCTCTTTCTTTCTCCTTCCTTCCTTCCTTCCTTCCTTCCTTCCTTCCTTCCTTCCTTCCTTCCTTCCTTCCTTCCTTCTTTCTTTCTTTCTTTCTTTCTTTCTTTCTTTCTTTCTTTCCTTCTTTCTTTTTTCTTTCGAGACAGGGTCTCTTATGTAGCCTTGGCTGTCCTGGACTTGCTTTCTAGACCAGGCTGGCCTATAACTGACAGAGATCTGCATGTCTCTGCCTCCCTCCCTGAGTGCTAGGATTACAGGTGTGTGAGTCCACACCCAGTTATAAGATCTTAATGAGTACATTACACAGCTTCTTCTCATTGTGCATATCACAGACTGACATTAGCTAACTCAGAGATTCCCTTTCACAGTTCTCCAACTAAGCCAAATCTCTCTAGGTTTATATAAACCTCATACTTGAAGACATTTATTAGTGAGTTTATCTCCACCTTGCATAGTCGAGCACATAGCAGAGACTTATATCTCTTTTCACCAATGTTTCAGTAGCCACCATCATGTCATTTTTATGAAATATATATGTATTGAAAGAATAAATATTAATTTGTATGATCTTCTGAAACACATTATTTCAATGGAGTGTTTAAATATTGAGTTATATATGTAATGAACATATGGTGATTTAACTTTCTGAAAGATATAATCTTAATATTTATGTTTTGAAAACATAATTCCTAATAGGTGTAAAAGTAACAGCCATAATACATGCATTAAAATAGACTGTACAAGCAATGTGGTGGATGCTCTAACTTATTGGTTTGACTTTAACATACTGTTTACTAAAAAATGCTTTGGGAAAATAGGAAATATATCAAATACATCAGGAAATTTAGAGTAATATTTATAATCTTGTTTACTAAATAATCAGAACCACATTATTCTTAGTATATTTACTGACATGTAATGATTTGCCTATACATTTCAGACTTTCCAACCTGCCTGCTGTGTACTTGTATAAGTACCACTGTATACTGTGATGACCATGAACTTGATGCCATTCCTCCCCTACCTAAGAAGACTGCATATTTCTATTCACGCTTTAACAGAATTAAGAATATCAACAAGAATGACTTTGCCAGCCTAAGTATGGACATAAATATTAATCTTCTTTCCTGATAGACTTTCCAGAAAATTTCACCATGTAAAATGTTGGTATTTAGAATAAATATTATAAATGATAAAAATAGCTCAAAATTTACTTACGTTTTGCTTAAATGTTTGAAAATGTGTTTTAATAATGGTAAGATGTAAGAGTATATAGTTAATAGCTATTAGGAAATAACATAGTGGTTGATAGTTTGGACTGTTTTCAACTAGTTTAATTATAAATAGCTTATTTTATAAGCTACAAATAATTTTCACATAATAATACTAAGAGTGCACTGCCATGGTGTTAAGCTAACTAGTGTTCTGGGTTTCTTTGGTATGTTTTCATTAAAGCATAGTTGCCATATGATTGAAAATTATCAACTTAGTTAATTCTACTTGGAATAGTTGCCATCTTAGGAGAATTTTAGTAATTGTCTTGATAAAGCATTTCAATAATTTAAAGATTTATTTTTACTGTGTGTTTCTTGGATTATCAGGAAAAAAATGTATCACTTTTTTTCCCTGAGGAAAACACATTAAAGAGGAAAATCCAGACAAAGTTTATAAAAAATGTAAAGAAAAGGATAGCTATTTAAAATATAATAATTTATTTATTAAAATAACAATTTTCTCTAAAAATATGAACACAGATCTTACTTGAAAAAACTTTCATAAAATTATTTTATTAGAGCTATTGTAAATTACATTGATATTTATACTTGTGATATGTTTATTAATGTTTTACTTGAGTAAACCATATTCAACAGTGTTTAGCTACTGCCATGATATTTTCTTCTAGGTGATTTAAAAAGGATTGATTTGACATCAAATTTAATATCTGAGATTGATGAAGATGCATTCAGAAAGCTTCCCAGTCTCCAAGAGCTTGTTCTTCGGGACAATAAAATAAAGCAGCTTCCAGAATTGCCAAACACTTTGACATTTATTGATATCAGCAACAATAGACTTGGAAGAAAAGGGATTAAACAGGAGGCATTTAAAGTAAGTTTTCAATGTCACATGTACATGAAAATCCTCATCATTCTCCTTCTCTTTTGTCACGGAGTTGCCTTTTCATGTCTGCAAAAGAATTTCGGATAGCACCTTTAACTTCTAAAATAAACTCCTCTGCTTTATGTATGGAAACTTTGAAAATAAGATATAGTTTGGTTCTGTCTAAAAATGGTTAAGCACCATGAATGGAATGTGGGGCTTGAATTCGAAGTTGAGTGGTACTTGGAGACTTTTGCAAAAAGCTTCTGGAAGGGGCACAAGCCAGAAAATTTAGGTTTTCTTAGAACTCCACCCTGCCCGGGGAGACTTCATGTTGTTAGGTGATTGGGCAAGAAGCAGGTGGTGCTTGGAGGACAGAAGGCCATAAAGAGTCTAGATCTAGTTATCTTTGGGAATTTGCTTTGTAAGTGAAGAAAACAAGCCTGGGTTTGTTAGCCTTGCTTAGAACAATGGATGCAATCCAAGAACAATAGCCAACTGGCTTTCTTACACACCCCTAACCCTCTCAAAATTATTTTCCAGATATAGATTGAAAGATAAGTTTTTACTTCGTGTTTGTAGGGGAAAGTATTCCACTCAGGGAGTTGGTGGTGGGTATTTCTGTTGATTATCCTATCAGTGGTGGCTAAGTTTAGGTCCTCTTAGGGTACACTCTGGCAAGGGTTGAAACGAGGGCATGGTGGAGCTGAGTCACTGCTTTACTGTACTGTTTGGCTAACATACACCAGTTACTGTCTGAATGGTTTCTGTCATTCTACCATTTTTCTTACCAACCAACCAACCAACCAACCAACCAACCAACCAACCAACCAACCAGACTTTGGCTAAAAGAAAATTTCATTACCCCAACCCATAAATAAAAGAATGTATATATATATATATATATATATAGATAGATAGATAGATAGATATAGATATAGATATCTATATCTATCTATATCTATCTATATCTATATCTATCTATCTATCTATCTATCTATCTATCTATCTATCTATCTAT